ACCTTATAGAGGTTCATAAAATCATGAGTCATCGATAGGGTGAATAGCCAAGGTCTTTTCCCTGGGGTCGGGGAGACTGAAACTAGAGGGCACAGGTTTAAGGTGAGAGGGGAAAGATTTGAAAGGGACCTAAGGGTCATGCAAAGGGTGGTGCGTGTATGGAATGAGCTGCCAGAGGAAGTGGTGGAGGCTGGTACAGTTACAACATTTAAAAGGCATCTGGATAGGTATATGAATAGAAAGGGTTTAGAGGGATACGAGCCAAATGCAAACAAATGGGAGTAGATTAATGTAGGATATCTGTTTGGCGTGGATGAGTCAGACAAAAGGGTGTATTTCCATGCTGTACGGCTCTATGACCCTATGACTATGTGATGTCATCTGTTCCCTGGTCTAAGTGAAGCAATGACAGATTTCTGGGTCCTGTGATGATGAAGAGGAATAAGAGCGCTCAAGAGTGTCTTTGAGAGTGGAAAGCCCAGGATTGTGAAAGATGTGGACTGAGTCAGACACCGAACGCTCTCGCACTCTTCATTTCACAGGCTGCAGTCGTGCACCTTGCAAACCGAGGGGGAGATTAGCTGCTCCCTCTTTGCAACGCTCTCCCCTGCAGGCAAGGCTAACCCTCCAATCTGTACAGGACACAGTGTGCAGGGCAGGCCATTTGGCCCCGCTGATCTGGGTGCTGCCCTGACATTTTCTACAGCCCTCAGCACTTCGGACCTCCGCTGAGTATGCTGTGTCCCACCTCCCAGCGGTTCTGCATCCAGCTGCTGTTGCCCAGGGAGCAGCGGCCGGCTGTTCAGAGCAACGAGGCTGCCCCTGGGATCTTGCTGTGCCGTGGGTGCTCAGGGTGTCAAAGGAGGTGCGCTCCAGTGGTGGTGCAAGAGAGCAGACACTGAGTTGTGTTCGCACTGAGCTGCGCTGGGCTTTGGGAGCTGGGTCCAGGACACAGACAGGTTGTTGTCAGTAGGAGATAACAAGGTGTAGAGCTGGATGAACACAGCAGGCCAAGCAGCATCAGAGGAGCAGGAAGGCTGGCATTTCGGGTCTGGACCCTTCTTCAGAAAAGTCAGTAGGAAGCAGCTTCAGTCTGTGCTGTTGGTGCCTGTGCAGGGGAGCAACACCTAGTGGCAGGATCTGGTATTCAGTCTCACAGCTACAACGCCAAGCCCCCACAGCAACAAGACCTCCCAGCAGTGGGTGGGGGAGTGGGGATTGACTCCTGCATTTTCCAATTGCTTTTCTTCCACACCGCCTTCCCCCAACAACCAGCCGCAGCACCCCTCCACCAACCACTACCTGCGCATGTGATTAATTCCCTGGCACATTCTCAGACAGCCTCCTGCCAATTCCAACAGACTTCCCACTGAACTGTGTCAATATTTGCACAGAGATCCCCTCTGTCCTGCATCCCCACAGATTCCCAAGGTGCGCAGAAATCCACACAATCCCTGCAGCGTGGAAAGCAGGCCATTCGGCCCATCGAGTCCACGCCGACTCTCCAAAGAGCATCCCACCCACCCCCTACCCTATCCCTGTAACCCTGCATGGCTAAACCAAAACCCTGCACATCCCTGACTTCACGTCTTTGGACTGTGGGAGGAAACCAGAACACCCAGAGGAAATCCAGGCGGACACGGGGAGAACGTGCAAACTCCACACAGTCACCCGAGGGTGGAATCGAACCCGTGTCCCTGGTGCTGTGAGGCAGCAGTGCTAACCACTGAGCCACCCTGAAGGGAGCAGAAGAAGCCTGTTTCTTCTTGGAAAGGTGGGGGAGACACAGTTTCACAACTGATTCCCCATGCATCAATCCCTCGCTTACTCTAATCCCTCCACACCCCCTCACTCTGCAGACAAATCTTCTTGCACTCAGTGCACAGTTTGAACCCGAACCTGCTGGGCCATTGTTATGAAGCATCTGCTTTGGTGATCCAGTCCCAGAGTGAGATTCCACTGACCCCTGGGGGTGAGAGTGGTGGAGGCTATCCAGTGACCATAGGTTGAACAAGGTTATGTCTATAACTGCTTGAGTTTGGAAGGAGGAAGCAGATCTGACTGAAATGTATCAAACACTAAACAGGCTGGACAAACCCGATGCAGGGAGGGTGGTTCCCCTGGGTCGGGGTGGGGGGGAGGGTGGAGTCTAGAACCAGGGGACACAGTCTCAGAGGGATGCAGGAGAGACCATTTCAGACTGAGATGAGGAAACATTTCTTCACTCAGAGGGTGGTGAGCCTGTGGAATTCCTCAGCACAGGAGGCCGGGCCACTGAATACAGTCAAGAAAGAGGTTGGTAATTTGAGATATTGTGAAGGCATCAAGAGGCATGGGGAGAAAGTGGGAGTATGGCACCGAGAAAGTGAGTGGATCAGCCATGTTCAGAATAAATGGCAGTGCTGGCTATATGGGCTGAAAGGCAGCATGTCTCCTGCTTTGTGAAACATGCAGGATCCTGAGGGGGGCTTCAAACAGCGGGTGCTGAAAGGATGTGAGAGAAACTCGAATGAGGGGAAATGGTTTAAAAATAGAAGGGGGGGGCAGGTCTCCCACGTCAGCTGGATAGGGAGGAGGTTTTTTCTCTCCCAGAGTATCGTAGGTCTGTTCAACTCTCTTCTGCAAAGGGTGAGTAGCCGAACATTTTCAGGGCTGAGGTCAGCAGGTACGCAGCTGACGAAGGCATCAAAGGCAGTTGGCTCGTGGGGGGAAACCGGAGTTGGGGGCCACACTTCAGAGCAGTCACAATCTTCCTAATTGTGGAGCAGAAGGCTTGAAGGGCTGAATGGCCTACTCCTGATGGCCATGCCTACATTTGTCCAGTTTGAACTTGGCTTTGTGACTGAAAGGGAGAGACAGGAACCAGTGTGCTCCAGGAGTGCCCCTCATCTGGTGATACTGACCCATTTCAAAGGATCCCCTCCCCTGCAACACTCAGGTCTGCCTGTCACACAGGGTTCTACATGGGCGAGGCTGGGAGTTGTAGGGAATTCTTGATGATTAGAGAAACTGAGGATCCGGTCGAGAAAAAGAAGGAAGTACATGTCAGGTATAGACAGCTGAGATTGAGTGAATCCCCAGAAGTGTACAAAGGCTGTCGGAGTATACTCAAGAGGGAAGTCAGGAGGGCAAAAAAGGGACATGAGATAGCTTTGGCAAACAGGGTTAAGGAGAATCCCTTTGGATTCAAATACATGAAGGACAAAACAGTAACTAGGGACAGAATATGGCCCCTTAAAGATCATAAGGCTGCAGGAGATCAGTGAGATACTAAAGAAGTATCTTACATCCGTGTTTACTGTGGAGAAGGATATGAAGCTAGAGAACTTGGAGAAATAAATAGTGATATCTTGAAAAGTGTCCATATGACAGAGGAGGAGCTGCTTGATGTATTTAAATACATAAAGGTCAATAAATCCATGGGACCTGATCAGGTGTAGCCCAGAACTCAGTGGGAAGTGAGGGAAATGATTGCTGGGCCACTTGCTGAGATATTTGTAACACCAATTGCCATGGGTGAGATGCTGGAAGACTGGAGGTTTGGCTAATGTGTTGCCACTATGTAAGAAAGGTTGTAAGGAAAAGCCAGGGAACTATTGACCGGTGAGCCTGACATCGGTGGTGGGCAAGTTGTTGGAGGGAATCCTGAGGGACAGGATTTACATGTATTTGGAAAGGCAAGAACTGATTAGGGATAGTCAATGTGGCTTTGTGCATGGGAAATCATGTCTCACCAACTTGATTGAGTTTTTTGAAGAAGTAACAAAGGGGGCCGAGCAGTGGATGTGATCTATATGGACTACAGTAAGGTGTTTGACAAGGTTCGTCATGGTCAAATAGTTAGCAAGGTTAGGTCACACAGAATACAGGGAGAACTAGCCATTTGGATACAGAGGTGGGGTGGTAGAGGGTTGTTTTTCAGACTGGAAGCCTGTGACCAGTGGTGTGCCACAGGGATCGGTGCTGGGTCCACTGCTTCTCATCATTTATATAAATGATTTGGATGTGATTATCGCAGGTACGGTTAGTAAATTTACAGATGACACCAAAATTGGCAGTGTGTGCACAGCAAAGAAGGGGATCTCAGGGTACAGTGGAACCTCGATGAGATGGGCCAATGGGCAGAGGAGTGGCAGATGGAGTTTGATCTGGATAAATGGGAGATGTTACATTTTGATCGAGCAAATCAGGGGCAGGACTTATACACTTAATGGTGAGGTCCAGGGGAGTTTTGCCAAACAAAGAGACTTTGGAGCACAGGTTCATAGTTCTTTGAGAGTTGACTCGCAAGATGGTGAAGAGGTGTATGGTATGCTTGCCTTTGTAGGTCAGTGCATTCAGTATTGGAGTTGCATGCTCATGTTGCGAATGTACAGGACATTGGTTAGGCCACTAAAAATAATGAATCTGTGTGAACCCAGCGGAGATTCATTGTCAAAGGAAGAGCGCACCATGGGTCAGCAGGACTGCTTTGTGAGCAGATTCCCCTGACTCAACATGACACGTCACAGACAGGCAGAAAGACAGGTTTGCCTTCTCTCGAAGGAGGGAGGGAGAGTTGCTGCGGGATCACTTCTCCTACACTCCTCAATGAACCTGGCTCGCTGATCTACAGTGGGATGCCATGGGGTTGCAGCCTGCAGTCGCACAATGCAGTGCAATGCTGCTGGCCCACAGCACCTCGGGCAGGCCCAGTGTCCTGTTCATGGATCTCGTCTGCTTCGCACACTGCTAGTGCCACACAAGACGATGGGGAGCGTCCTCAGCGTGTGGGTGGGTCTTGGTCTCCGCCAGGACTGTGCGGTGGTCACTGTTCCCAACACTACTGTGGACAGACATCACGCGGCAGGGAGACCTTTAGTTGTTCCCTAGTCATTGTTACTGAGCCACTTCCCCACTTCTGAAAGCTGGGGGTGGGTGGGTGGCTGTTTCTTTGGGAAGAGATGGATGGATGAGTGACAGTTCCTACAATACCAGCCCTGGATGAAAAACACGGCTACCTGTGACACTCATGCCAGATCCAGGCATGGCGGCCTGCCTTAGGCCTGAAGTCAGCCTCCCCGTTGTTGTGGATCTGAGAGGAGAACCTGAGCAGACGACGGAAGCTGGACAGAGGTGGCAGGCCGACAGCAGAGCTGGACAGGCAGTTCTCTTCCATGGCACACGCCAGCATGGACAAGGGCCGATTCTCCAGGTACGTGGTCTCTTCAATCACCCGCGGGTTCAGCACCAGGTCAGACGCGGCTGGGAACAAGAGCACACAAGGGTTACTGTCGACCAGGGCTTCTCAACCCCACAGCCCACCCCACCGAGTCCGTCCATTCCCATTTGTCTGGGACCATCGCGTTTATCCGCACAAAACCGGCCGAGTCCTCCCAAAGCCCCACACACAAGGCCAGTCGAGAGCACTCCGCTGAGTTTCGGTCACAGCTACTGTGTCCGATCAAGGATGGGGAAGATCTTGAGATTGTCAAAGAGGCTGTTCAACCAGCTCTCTTTCTCGACACCTCATTCTCCCCCTCCCTCTCCCGATCCCTTTCCCTTGATCTCCCCGACCCCTTCGATCCCACACTTGCTCCCCCCTCCATTTGTTTCACTCCTTGCCCTCCCTTTCCCACTCTCCGCCCCACTTCCCCATCCCCCCCAACTTGCCCCTTCTCTTTCACCTTCTCCCCTCCCACCCCCTCAAACCCCCTCCTTCCCCTTCCACCTCCATTATCCTTATCCCTCCGTTTCCCCTTCACACTCTCCCATCCTTTGCCTCCTGCCACTCCCCTTCACCTCCCTTTGACCCTCTCCTCCCTCACCTCCTTCATGTCTCTTGGCCCCCTCCACCTCCCTCTCCCTTTCATCTGTAATTCCCCATCTCCATGTCCCCTTCCCCATCCCATCTCTCTTGAGCCCACTCTCTTGCCCCTCTCTTCTCTTGTCCCCTCTTAACTCTCAGGCACCCCCTCTCTCCTCTCCTTCCCTCCCCCTTGTCCCCACCAGACTGCCATCTCCCCTCTCAGGAGGCTGACGGGGTTCAGGAGGAAGGGGAGAGAATGTTTTGTCCAGCTGCTGTTCCCGCAGAACGGAGGAGAGAGATGGACTTACCTTCGGTACACGAGACCCCGGCAGCAAACTGTCCCCCTCGATTGGGACAATCGAGCTCCTCGCCGTGGTGAAGACACTGGAAAAGGGACAATTCCGTGCCTGAACATTTCACACCACTCATCACTACTTCATCAGCAGATGGGTCACCTCCCCAGAACCAGGTCTCCTGAAGGAAAACACCAAACAATCAGGGAAAGGGAAAACACAGGCAAACCCTCTGATCCGAGCTGGGAGCACGGGAACTCCAGCACGCTTAATACGCTAAAGCAGCCGGAGTGTAGGCCTCTCCTTCCTCCACTTCAATGTTCCGCCACTTCTTCTCAGGAATAATAATGCTCAGACTTGCACCAAGACTGGGGTCAAGGTGACTCCTTCCCTCACTGATCCCTTTCTGCAATAAATTATCCATCTCCGCTGTCCAGCTCTCTTTCTCTCCCTCTCCCTCAAACCCACTTTATAATCATCCTGTTCTCCAGGAAGGTAGCAATCTACTCTGTCCAGTTTCTCTCTCTCCCTCCAATCCCTTAATCCCATCCCTTTCTCCACTCAGATAGCAATCTGGTCTATCCATTCTCTCTCTCTCTTTCTTCCACCATCCCACCATTCAGCGAGATAGTAATGTCCTCTCAGTCTCTTTCCCTTCCTGAATCCCGGCCCCAACCCATCACATTCTCCATTCAGAACACAATCCCCTCTGTGCATCCTTCCACTCTGATCTCCATGGTTTTTCCCTCTCATCCACATGTCAGGGTGCTCACGGAGAGAAAAATTATTGATCATCACTGATAAAAGACTTACATTATGCTGCTAAAATATTCCCACAGATATTTACGAGGCATCTACTGTCTTGCCAACTCCAGCTCCATGTATTCCTCAAGCCTTTATTGTGGAACTCACTGAGCTCCCTGACATAGTCAGCCCCACATTCTCACCACTCTCTGCAGCACAACTTGCCCCTGAATTTCCCACTGGATTTCCGGAACGCTGTCTGCTGTGAATACCTGAGGTTGTGGGTCTGACCACAACGGTAAACAGCTTCCGCTTGGTAATCTGAAAGGTGCCTCTCAGTTACTGCTGAGTTGACTTATTTTGAGACCAAGGAACAAGACACACCCTGTTCAAGACTTCGAAGGACTGAGAAGCTTCAAGCAACATCCTTGAGAACCTTGTGTACTGCACGCTTTCCTTTCCCTCTTTAGTTTCTGGAGACAAGACATGTGTACAATATACAAACGTGGCTGAACCAAGGTTCAACACAACTTCAGCAGCATTGGAGGAAGGGGGGATACTGAGGAAAATAAGGAGCTTGAACTGTCGGCCTGAAAAATCACACCAAAAGACGGTTTATCAGTATATTGGGGGTACCAAGATAAACAGGTGACGAGTACAGCCCATTGGAGAGCGATGTGACTGATGGGTGAGTGCCTGAAATCATAGCTGAAGTTTTAAATGAGTGCTTTGCCTCTGTATTCACTGTGCAGAAGGACAATTTCAGTCTACAAACTGGGAAGGGGGACTTAATATTCTTCAACAAATGAGCATGGAGAGGGAGCAGGTATTGGCGGTTTAAGCAGCCTTGACAGTGCATCAGTGCCCACTCCTGGGTGAGATCTGTCCCAGGCTGCTGCTAGAAGATACTGCAAGGGGCTCCGACATTGTTTTCCAAAGCCTCTCTGGCCATCGGAGGGGTCACAGCTCACGTGGTTCCATTATTCAAGAGATTTGGCAGGGATAAACCAGGAAACGACAGGCCAGTCAGTCTAACGTCTGTGGTAGGGAAACTAGCAGAAAACATTGAGCACAGGCAATGATTAAGCAAGGAGAGTCAGTATGGCTTAGTCAGGGAAAGCTCATGTCTCACAAATGGTATTTTTTGATGAGGTTACTGTGTGTGCAGCTGAAGGTCATGCAGTTCATGTCTAAATGGACCTCCGTGAGCCTTTTGATGAGGTCTCTATTGGCAGCCTGGTTAAGAAGCTAAGACCCCATGGGGATGTAGGGCGGTTTGGAAAATTGGATCCAACGTTGGCTTTGTGACAGGAAGCAGAGGGTGACGGTTTAAAGGGAGTTTTGGAAACCGAAAGCGTGTGTCCAGTGGGCTTCCACAGGGTTTAGTGCTGGGTCCTTGCTGTTTGTAATGGGCATGAATGATCGAGACATGAATGTACAGGGTATGATCTGCATGTTCGCAGGTAACATGAAAATGGAAGGTGTTGTATATAGTGAGGAGAAAAGACTAGACCACAGGACCACAGGCTAAACAGTGGCAGATGACGTTTAAACCTGAGAAGTGTGTGCTGAGGGCGGACAAGGCAATGGTGGACCCATTGAATGGCAGGAACCGAGGAAGTACAGGGGGTCAGAGGGACCGAGGTGTTAATGTCCACAGATCCTTTAAAGGCAGCAGAACAGGTAGGTAAGATGGTTAAGAAAGCGATTGAATATTGGCCCTTATTAGTCAAGGCATTGAATACAAAAGCAAGGAGGTCATGATTAGAGCTGTATATAATGTTAGCTAGACCACAGCTGGAGCACTGTGTGTGTGATTCTGGTCACCACACTACAGGAAGTCTGTGGCTGCACTACACACAGTGCAGAGGAAAGCCAACAGGATATTGCCCTGGCCTGGAGTGATTTGGATATGAAGGGAGACTAGATTGGCTGCGGTTGTTCTCCTCAGAACAGAGAAGACTGAGGTGGGGGGAACCTGATTGAGGTGTACAGAATTTAAGGGCATAGACAGGAATACCTTTCTCCCCTTAGCAGAAGATCGATTACAAGGGCGCACTGATGTAAGATCAGGAGCAGGAGGTCCAGAGGGGATTGGATGAAATTTGTTTTCATCCAGAGGGTGGTATGTGGCTGGAACGGAAAGGCTGGAACTATTTAAGACATATTGAGATGAGCACCTGAGACACCATCACCGCCAAGAGCGGGAAAATGGGCGGAGAATAGATGGATGCCCAAGGGCCGGTGCTGACTCAATGGGCCGAAGGGCCTCTTTCTGTGCTGTGAACCTGTTTGTCTCTATCCTCATGTCTGGGTACTGTCCATGGTGCTTGTGCCCAAATGCTGCCTGTTCTGAAAGGGAAGATGGCACAGTGGGATGGGAAGTTAACCTCGATATTGCTGTCTATGATAAATATTGACAATTGCTATCCAAGTGCCTCTGGTACACTGATAGACTTGAGTGAAGGAAGTCTGTGGTCCTTGGCCTGGCATGGCCTACACGTGACTCCAGACGCACAGCAGTGTTGCTGATCCTGAACTGCCCTCTGAAATGGCCAGGCCAGATGCTGAGCTGAAGGGCAATTGGGGATGGGCAGCCAACGCTGATGGCTGCCCCTGTGGATTAATACAACTCAGTTCCACTGCTGGCCACCATCAGGTCAAGGGGTCAGTCCTGATTGAACAGCGAGACCACTTGGAGGGGCACTGCGTGGTCAATGATGCCCAGGGAACAGGTTACGAGCAGGGACACAGAGTTAGGAAACTGGCGAGCAGAAGCTGACGATGACTTGTACCTGAACTGCATGGTCGGCAAAGCCCAGTCCTAACTGCCTGCACACCACCATCGCTTCCATGAGGCCCCAGTTGCTGTTGCAGACAGTGCCCCATCTCTGGCCACCGTTCCTCTTTGCGAGCACTTCCACACGTCCCTCGAACGGAGTACGTCCTCCTACCAGGCGGATCTGCACACGGGGTGGTACCAGAACAGGGGACTGAGTGAGAGCTTAAAGCACAAACCATCACCCTGAACATTTATAACACAACCCTGCTTCCACGCATCAGTTCCCCTGAAATACCCATTGGGCTGTGTTCACATTTGTCCTCAGAGTGTTGGCAAGTCCAGCCCTTTATCTCCATCCCTGAAGAAAACAGCGAAGGCCTCATCATCTTACCAGACCTTGGGGCCACTCTCTCATTACAGACAGAGAGATGACTGGTCGTGGTTTATCCCAACAGTCACCATGCCTCAGCTGCCACTTCATGGTAACCTCAGCCAGTGCAGGGATTGAACCCATCATGTTGGCATCACTCCGCATCGCAAAGCACCATTTGGTCAAATGACCCAGCCGTCAGTCACCATCACAACCATCATCAAGGGCAATAAATGATGGTTTGTTTGGTGGCACCCACCTCCTGTGGGGGAGGACAGACTTGGCAACATGAAAGCCGAGGTTTCTCACGTAGGGTACTAGACAGTGTTGACCTGCAAGAGGTCCTCCTTTCAACTTCCCGACAAGCCCAGATTTAGGGCGGCACGGTGGCTCAGCGGTTAGCACTGCTGCCTCACAGCGCCAGGGACCCGGGTTCAATTCCACCCTCGGGCGACTGTCTGTGTGGAGTTTGCACATTCTCCCCCCCCGATTTCCTCCGGGTGCTCCGGTTTCTTCCCACAGTCCAAAGACGTGCGGGTTAGGGTGGATTGGCCGTGCTAAATCGCCCGTAGTGTTCAGGAATGTGTAGGTTGCGTGGGTTATAGGGTGATGACACTGAGTGGGATGCTCGGAGGGTCGGTGTGTGGGATTTGTTGGGCTGAAGGGCCTGTTTCCACACTGTAGGGATTCTCAGAGGCAGTCAGAGAGAGGGTAGGGTGAGGGCATTGAGGGATTTGCCAATCAGGAAAGGGAGGTAGAAATCGGATGGGAGAATGAGTTCAGCAGGGGACTGCTGGCCTCAAATACAAAGGAGTAAAGACCCTCTGATGAATGGTGACTATGCAGAGGGTTACAGCAAAGCTCAACATAGACTCTCAATGGCCAACACCATTCCAAAGGCTGTCTCAGATCAGCTTATCCCCAGTGACCAGCACACGTCCGAGCAAACCAGGAAATCCTCAACAGAACATGACCAAACCTAGATTGAAGCACCAACAGGAGTAATGGTGGTGTGTGTGTGTGTGTGTGGAAGAGTTTGGAGGGACACAGGTGAGTTAGACAGAAGACATGTGATGAAGAAGTCTGTGATAGTACCTGGACAACCACTGGGAAACGGACCAGTGGTGGTGGGAACAGAGAGAGAGAGGAGAGCCTCACACGCAAGAATCATTTCACCACTTGACAGGACAACGAGTTACCTTTCGGTATGAACAACCGAAGGTGGGTCTTCGCCATCAACATAAATATAGGGATCTCGCAGAAACACTCAAGGTGTGCAAAGATAACACAATGTCTGTCTGCAACTGCAGAGCTGTACATGGTAGGAGGAGGAGAGAGAATAAAGAGAGGGTAGGGGGGTGATGGGTGGGAGACGGAGGCACAACAGAGGGCTAGGGGGTACAGACAGAAGGTGTGACAGCACACAGGAGATCGAAGAGTGAGGACAGAAGTGAGTGGGAGCGGGAGAGAAGGGAGTGAGGTTTGAGAGAGAGACAGAGAGATAGAGCAAGAAGTGAGAAGACAGGAGGAAGGAGAGTAGGGAAGCCGGGGTGGGGGAGAGGACAGAGAGAGAGAGAGAGAGAGAGACGGACGGATAGATGGTGGGGGTGAGGAGCGCTGAAATGGGC